CGAGTAAATGGTAGTGTCGTCAGCGTAGATACCAAGTTGAGAGCTGATATCATTGGGAAGGTCGTCAAGAAAGATTAAAAACAGCTTACGACACACGCGTTCGTATGAAATGATGTAGACGAGTGGCCGTTCAGGACAACTTTCATTTCACGATTTGATAAGAACGACTGGATCAGCTCAATAATGTGCTCGAAGATACCGTAACTTTTCAGTTTGTGAGAGAAGACCTGAATGCCAGACCCCGTCAAAGGCTTTCGAGATATCCAAAGCTACAATCCGAGTTTCATCGTTTTTTATCTAAAGCACGATAGACTCTTTCCGAAATTATCATCAGCAGTTGAAACGAAAACCGTATTCCCTGTCTAAGAAAAATCCCGATGAGAGATGATGAACTAATTTAGCGTTAGTTAAGGCCTTTAGGACTTTCCAAAAAAAGGGGTAGAAAGCTAATAGCCCGAGTGTTAGATGAATCGATGAGTTCTTAAAAACTACAACAACAGACGATGACTTCCAGCAGGTAGGCAAGCAGAAGGCAGCGAGGCATTTATTATACAGTTTAAAGAGAACAAGAGCCAGTTTAGGAGCACGATCCTTAATGACCATTACATGGATACCATCGGGTCTGCATGCTTTGTGGGGGTTCAAAGTTAGAGATGATAGTAGAAACCATTGAAAGGGTTATATGTATATCACTCAGCAGAGAATCAGTTCAAAGTGGGAAGTCAAGAGTAGAGTTTGAGGAGAATTTACGGGTAAAGCATTCAGCTTTATCAGCAGAGGATGATAACACCTCAACTCGATCGAAGAGGGGGAATAGACACATTGAACTTATTTAGTACCCTATTACAGAGATGCCAGTAGTCACGAGAGCCAAATTTTTTTTTTAGGGTTGCTTCATTCTCTCAGCAAACACGGACTTAGCTCCTTCGAAGACTCGCTTGCATTTGTTACGAGCTGTAGCAAATAGGCAACTGTTATGACGAGAGCTGTCACGCTGGTATTGCCGGAAATAGTAGTCTCTGTGTACGATGGCGACCGCGCATGCTGGTGTGAACCAGGGAGAGGATTGCGGTTTCGTCTGGTATTTCTAAGAAGGGATGAAAGTGTCCATGCCGGCTTGGACCCTAGATGAAACCTCAGTGGTACAATTTTCAATCGGGAGTTTGAAGATGTTAGTACAAGGGCGTCACGATGAAAATCTTGGAATGAGTCCTAATCAGCGTAAAGGAAAGATGTCTTATGGATACGGGGTTCCTGTTAAACGGATGCTTGGATGGAGATATCAATAGTTACCACAGAGTGGTCAGAGGGCCGTATTGCGAAGCTCGGTATGTGCCTAGTGAGGAGATAAGAAATAGAGCCAGTAGAGAGGTCTGTTGCTCGGTTTGGTTAGAGAAACGAGTAGGGAAGTCCATGATTTGAGTGAGGGATTGGACATTGGAAAAAAATATCTGTATACCAGGAACATCAGTGTATTTGGAAAGTTTCAGCCACGTGTTGTGGTGAGTATTACAGTCACCGAAGACAAAGATGTTCGCAGATGGATGGAGAGAAAGTGCCTTTTCTATACTGTCATCTATTGCGTCTAATATATCACAGTCTGGAGAAGTGATAAAGGAAAAAGAGATAGCTGACAAAGTTTAGTAATGAAAGACGGAAACACATGAAAGAGTAATTAGCGACTCTGAAAGACAATTTTCTGACCATCGGTTACTTTCAATGATTTAATATAGATAGCTTCAAGAATATTTACTTTGTGTAAAAAAAAAATGAATATTCATCAACATGGTATTTTCTTTCTTCCTTTAATAAGGATACTAAGAAACTTGTCCGTTATTACGAAAGGATTCTATTAAAAAATAAGTAAACAAAACTTGTCTGAATTATTTAATGAGACATGTCTTAATGAAACCATGCTGTCAAGTTATACGGCTGATAATGCAAGACTCTTCGATAAAGTGAATCGAGTCCTCTCGGTCACTGTGAGTTTATCAAAAAATTAAATACGCTTAAAATTCACCAAGTAGACCGTATTGCGAACCTCGGTAAGAGAAAGAAGAGGAGGTAAGAAATAAATCAAGTACAGAAACCTTTTGACCGGTTTTGCTAGGAAAACGAGTAAAAAAAAAAGTCCATGATTTGAGTAAGGAATTGGACAATGGAAAAAAATTAATGCTTGAATACCAGCAAAATCAATACCTTTATAATGTTTAAACCACGTGTCGTGATGCGCATTAAAAACACCGAAGACAAAGATGTTCGCAGTTAGGTTGCGAGAGTACCTTTTCTATACTATCAGAAGTTATGTCGAATATACCGCTGTTCTGTGGAGAGGGTTAGCGAAAAAGGAAAAAGCGAAAGGTAACAGATTTTAGTAACGAAAGACAGAAGCACATAAAGGAGTAGTTTAGGGCCTCGAGAGACAAATCCCTGTTGTTTATTTTATTATAATTTTTATTGTATTATTATGTATTTTTAATCTTTAATTAAAATAAAAATTTGTTATTTATCATTTTTAATTTATTTAGAAGAATGTCATAATAAGAATTATTATATTAATAACATTTAAATATCAATAGTTACCCCCAGAGTTGCCCAAGTTACCAAGTACCGTATTGCGAACCTCGGTAAAAGAAAGGAGAGGATGTAAGGAATAACGTACAGAAACCCTTTGCTCGGTTTTGCTATTAAAACGAGTATGAAAGTCTATAATTTGAGTAAGGGATTGGATCAGGGAAAAATTTAATGTCTGAATATCGGCATCAGTTCCTTTAGAATGTTTCAGCCACGTGTCATGGTGAGCATTAAAATCACCGAAGACAAAGATGTTCGCAGATGGATGGAGAGAAAATGCCTTCTCTACACTGTCAGGGATTGTGTCGAATATATTTCAGTTTAGTTTAATAGAGATCGCTGACAAAGTTTAGCAGCGAAAGACGAAAGCAGATGAAAGAGTAAACAAACGGACTCGAGAGACAGTTCTCTTGCCATCGGAAGATTATCCCGGATGAAAACCCCAAGGCCATGCATGTGAATTGTGGTATCATTTAGGCAAAGGGGAAAATAGCCTGGAACCAAGAATTCATTGGTAGCAATGGAAGAACTTAAGAATCACAAGTGCCAAAGATATCTGGCGACTGTTCCAGGAGAAATGATTCTACACTGTACAGGTTGAAACGGGTACCACGAATATTGGAGAAGTATCAATCCTTCTATAAAACAGTAAATGCGTAACAATTTCCTCACAGATGAAGAGGAGACTTGTCATAGAAAAAATATGGTTCTACAGAAGGATACTGAGAATATCATGGACTGAACATGTGGGTAAGGCGGATGTTTTAATTTAAATGGAAACAAAAAGTCGCCTGCACTTAGAATTAAAATGACGCCGTTGAAATTCCTAGGCGCATCATGAGGAAAGAGGGCTTGGAGAATTTGACACTCACAAAACATATTCAAAGCAAGAAGGGTACAGGAAACAAGCGAATAACTGACGAGCTTGTGTATGGCGAAAGAGCAAGCGACAATAAGGAAACAAATATTCTTTGAGCTGCCAAAGATAGGAAATTTTGGAAAGCCATAGTCGTCCACGTCCCTTAAGAAAAAGAAGAGGCCAGTAGCATGTAGTCTGATTTATTTAGACAATATGATGTGTAAATTAGTCAAGTATATATATATATATATATATATATATATATATATATATATATATATATAGTTGAATCTCTGTAGCTACCGACCAAGTCTAAATCTTGCATGGGTCAAGATATACCCACCGGCGAAATTCTTTCTCGTTTCCGGAAACACATCCTACACAAGAATAAAAGAAATTCTTCCTCCAAAGAAATAACAAATAAATAAATATTTTGATCTTATCAAAACATTTTTCCACTTCAAAAAGAAAGATACAATATATATATATATATATATATATATATATATATATATATTATTCGGTGTAACCTGAAAAAATGTTTTCATTGGGCATTTTTCATCATTGACTGAATGAATAATTAAAACCAGACAATACAATTCCTGATTCTTCTGTTAGTAATCTTCTCCTAGTGTGGTACAAGGACGGAATTTTTGAGAACCCTCTCAAAAACAATGTCTTCAGCAGAAACTTGTTGGAGAAGCGCTCCGACGTTATCTAGAAAGGTTATGTTTCTGGCAAAGCACGCGCTCACACACACTCACACACACGCCTCAGACATACACACGCCTCAGACACACACACGCCTCAGACTTACACACATGACTTAAATAACAAGATCCAATAGAGAAATAAATAAATTTTCGCAAATAACACAGATTTATTTACGTCTGATTTTGATCCGTCTTAATGAAACACCCTTATATATACTCCGTTTTAATGAAACACACTTCATATTCAACTTTGCCCAATGTGGGATAAATTAATGACTCTTCTCAAAGTTATAGGCAGTATGTTAATTTGCTAACCAATAACCCAACGCACAATGTAAATTTACAAAACATAGCTTAGATATGGCACAAGTTTCTAACTCATTACTCAGACAAGCTTGTTTACCATTACACCAGGTCGGATTGTCCTATGTTTTTCTAAGCGTAATATCAATGTGGCACAAGGCCGAAATATGCAGCACCCAGCAAGGATCAAACTCACTATTCAGTCCTAATTGATCTAGCGAGACAAGCTTGTTTACTATTATACCACGTCGGAGTGCTCTATGATTTTTTAAGCGTAATATTAGTGTGGCACAAGGCCGAAATATGGAGCACCCAGTAAGGATCAAACTCACTACTCAGTCCTAATTGATCTAGCCAGACACGCTTGCTTAACATTAGACCACGTTGGAGTTCCCTATGATCTTTAAGTGTAATATCGATGTAGCACAAGGCCGAAAATGTGGAGCATCCCGTGATCTAACGAGACACGATTGCTAACGATTACTCTCCGTCGAAGTGCCCCCAAACCCCAACACCATGTCCTGTTTACAAATCTTAGATTAATAGGTCACATGGTCATAAGTGGGGTGTCTCTGTCCGCGTTTGAACTTACTCTCTGTGCTTTAATTTCGAACGTGCTACTCTTCTTGTTGTTACTTCCGTTTCTGTTCCCTCTATTTATCGGCCATCTTTGCTATACCATCTGTAAAGCCGAAACACCTTCTTACATAACTCCCCTGTTACAGTCCTTTCTGTGTCCCCCCCTGTTTTCCTATCTCTTTCATCATTTCCTTTTGTTTTTAGTTTTTATTTATATTTATATCGAGAAAAGAAAAATCTTTTTCACGATGAAAGGTATTCGCTAGCTATTGAAAGACTTTGTCGGTTTCTGCAAACAAATAAATAAATAAATACAGATAAAAAAAAATAATTCTAAAAAGAAATTCTTTCTTGCATCATCAGATACTGCAGTTCTCTGCACATAGGATGCTATTTGACTGTTACTGACATGTAGAACTTCACGCGGGATTTCCGACTCCCGCGAGATGTTAAACATGTCCGCCAAATAGCATCATTTTGCAAAATATCCGCTTTTCTCGTTGAAGCGGTTTCTGTCATTTTTTTTTTTTTTTTTTTTTTAATAATTATTCTGCCAGGCATGTCTTACCTCAAACTTTTTCTTGTTTTTGTTTTGGTGATCCTCCTTGTAAGTTTTCAAACAGCTATGATCTTCTGTGTGTTTCCTTTCTGGGGTGAATATAATGACACCAACTTTTAATTTTGCTGTATACTTGTGGGTGTTTAGAGAAAAAGTTGTAGAAATGGGATGGCTTAAAAGTAATTTTACACAATCATTATACATTAGCTGTTCATGAAACTTGAGGTGACCCTTGTAAGATTTATTACCCACTGGCTGTCTTTCTGTTGGAATTTTAGAGGCGATATGTTGTTCAAGTAGTTTCTTCGTTTGTTTATTTTTGTTTATTTTGTTCGTGTTTTTTACCCGACGTTTCAACCATTTTACTCTCCAAATTCGTCAGTCTAGATTTCTAAGACTAAATATTTGTACTGTAAGATATTTATACTTCCAGTCAGCTTCGTTTTTTCTTTCTTTTTTTTCCTTTTTTGACTTTGCTATAGCGTTTTGGTTAAGCATACAAGGTTTGATCAAAAACCGTCGGGCCAGTTGCTATGGTACTGATGCTAACGTACGCAGAATGACGCCGCTTGGCACAAACTTGTAATGAGTTGGTCGGTCAACTTGACACCCCCAAAGCGAGTGGAGGTGGGCAGACGCGGGAACGGTGATTGGTAGCTGGCTTGTTGGTGTTTTGCATAGGTGAGTTACCAAGCTCTATGTAAAGGGCTGGAATGAGAAGGAGGGCAGTTTTCAGTCTCAGAAGTGGAGACTGTCCGTCGCTACGACAGCAGGAGAGAAAGAGATGAAATCATTTACTTTTTCGTGACACATTCCAGCACAAGCTATTTCAGCGTTTACGTTGACTTCAGCAAGATGGCGGAAAGACCGTTCGACATAAAACTGATCTCCGAATTCAGTGGTGATACGAGTGGACAGTCTGTGGTTGAATGGATCGAAAAGGTGGAACTGGTCTGCGAATTATGCGAGATCACGAAGATTGAACGGATTCTTACACTGCGATTGAAAAGCGGCGCCCTTGCTGTGTATAGGCAGCTGAGCAAAGAACAGAAAAGTGACATTGAACAAATAAAGCGCGCTCTACTAACAGCATTTGGAACTGACCGGTTCGTGGCCTATGACCAATTCCAGGCGCGGCGTCTACGACCTGGCGAGACAGTAGACGTATATTTGGCGGAATTAAAGAAGCTCGCCGTACCGATCGCACCGCTTCCTGAAGAATGGATGACATGACGCTCAATCAATTGTTGACCAGAGCCCGTGCTATCATGATCGACGAAAAAGAGGCTGTTGAACCAGTGGCCGCAGTCGTTCAGCCAATTGAAGTCAAAGAGGATCCGTCCCAGCCATCCGTCGCCATGGCGATGTCACCTGCTATCGGTGCTCTGGGCCGGATCATTTTGCCAAAGACTGCCGCTATCAACGCAAAGCAATGCGCAGCGGGTCGGCGCGAAAGGCACGTTTCAATCTACGATGTTTCCAATGTCATAACGTAGGTCACATTGCCTCTAAGTGTCCGGGAAATAGAATGGGGGATGCGACGTCAGCGCCGGTCTCTTCCCCGCACCGAGCAGGAAAGAGGCGTTCCCTGTGATTAAGGTGCGCTTTAGTAGATTCGGGCTGATCTCGGTCACTCACGAATGGTTCGATTTGTCGACAGTGGAGCAGACAAAAGATGGACGTACTAACGGCTGATGGAAAAGCTCTCAGAAGCCGGGGATTTGGAAACATCAAACTCACTATTAACAACAGTTATCCCGATATGTCAAGCGTGCAAGTTGTATATATGCGGACGCAGTCACCAGACAGACGCGACCATCTCTCGAACTGAGAAGCTTTGTGATCTTAAGATCAGTGGGGCGTGTAATGAGTTGGTCGGTCAACTTGACACTGTGATTGGTAGCTGGCTTGTTGTTGTTTTGCATAGATGAGTTACCAAGCTCTATGTAAAGGGCTGGAATGAGGAGGAGGGCAGTTTTCAGTCTCAGAAGTGGAGACTGTGTCCGTCGCTACGACAGCAGGAGAGAAAGAGAGGAAATCATTTACTTTTTCGTGACACATTCTTTGAACTCTGGAGCACATACAAACTAGGTTATGACGTTCTCGCTCATTTCCATTGTTTATATCAGTGCTTGGAAGGGAAGTGTGTAGAGTGTGCTTGTCTTACCACACCATAGATTTTCTATTAATGGCTATAGTTTGTGCAAACAGTTTGGGTCAAACACAACACTTCTCAGGTCCGACAACCACTATATTCTCTAGATATCGCCTCTTCCGACTTTACCTTTTTCTAAAAATTAAATCCCACTTGAAAGCTTTCAAGACATCGAGGAAATCCAAGAAATGCAACGAGGCAGCTGTTCGCAATCTAACCCCCCCCAAAAAAAAAAACAAAGAATTCCGAGAATACTTCCGGCGATGGAAACGATGCTGGGTAATGGGTGCGGTTTCAGAAGGCGAGTATTTTGAAAGAGATTAAATGCTGAATGGATATTGTTGTAGTTTTCTTTTTAAATCACCTGTCCCGATACTTTTTGATCAGACCTCGTCGTCCCCCCTTTTTTCGTTTATTTATTTTACTAACAGCATTCTGACTGCTATAGTCTACGGCATTTAGGAAATTTTCCTTATTTCCATTGTTTCTGTTGTGAGGGAAAATATTCCCCTACAAGTTTGGACTCGACCGTTGGATGAAAGACACAAAAATACTCCTACATCAAGAGGAGTAGCAGGACGAGCAGTAGCAGTAGTAGCCTCTGCTGAAAACAATTAGTCATTCACGGTTAAACAATTTCTTCCCTGGCTTCTATTCTACATTATGTTTCCATGTACCAAAAGGTAATAAACATTTTTTAAGCATTTCACCCCAAGCAAACCTGGAGTGCCACTAGCACGGAAGGGCTTACAGGGAGTAAGAGCACCAGTAAAGAGGGGTGTTTGAGGAAAGGACGGGGATCAAGATCAAGGTATCAGAAGATGTCGATTGACATTACATTTGAATATTGGAAGTTTATAGTTATCAGGGAAGAGGAAGGGAGTTCTGCTGGCGGGAAGTGCGTGCTATGAAGTTGGTGAAACAGAAGAGATGGATACATTTAACTGTTTCGACAGTGAAAGGGTGGGACCGATATGCCAACCTAGCTGTACGCTTAAATTCATGCAGTTGGGGTACCAGTGAAAGTAGCTCGTCGGAGCAGTTGCCATGAAAAGACAGAGAGAAGCCACATCAGATCTGTGAGAAAGTGACTGTAGACGAGATGCCAGATCAGGTCCTATCATATTGCATATCCGTCTTTGGACTTTGTTGAGGGCATCGAGATGAACAGCAGGGACACCAGAACATATAAATTAATTCCGGATTTCTCCTGTTACAACAGTTTCTATCAACGTTTTAATCATAAGTAAGACAATAAAGCCACTAAGACGCAAGAGTTTACTGAGTGGGAATGTATATGAGAAAAGGAAAAAAAAATGAAGCATAGCCGGCATAGTTGCTGTTGAAATCTTTTCCGCGTTTTTGTTGTATTTATATCGACATTTTAGTCAGCATAATCTCCACCCAGCAAAATTTCTGTCATATCATTTCCGCATTTTTGTTGCTTTCAACGCAGTATTTCGACCGCGGTAATCTCCGTTTCTTATCGATGATACATAATGGTAATTTTCATTAGGTTTGTTGTCTTTTTTTTCATAAAAAATACATTCTTATTGTTCCTTAAACGTTAAGTGGCTAAAGGTAAGGCACCGGGTAAGAAGTAAATTAAGAAGAATGCCGCTAGTTGCAATTCATATGGGATTGCGAGTAGAGATGTGTAAGAGTGTCCATCTATCTATCTACCCCCGGTCTCTATATTTGTCTATCTATCTCTCTATCTCTCTCCCTATCTATTTATCTATCTCCCTCGAACTATCTATCTATCTATCTATCTCTATCTCTGTCTCTCTCTCTATCTATCTCTATCTCTAGCTCACTATCTATCTATCTATCTATCTATCTATATATATATATATATATATATATATATATATATATATATATATATATCTCTATCGCTCTCTCTATCTATCTCTCTATCTCTCTCCTATCTATTTATCTATCTCCCTCTAACTCTCTATCTATCTATCTATCTATCTATCTCTATCTCTGTCTCTCTCTCTATCTATCTCTATCTCTGGCTCACTATCTATCTATCTATCTATCTATATATATATATATATATATATATATATATCATACTCTCTATCGATCTCTCTCTATCTATCTCTCTATCTCACTCTATCTCTCTCCCTATCTATTTATCTATCTATCTCTATCTATCACCCTATATCTCCCTATCTCTCTCACTCTCTCTCTATATATATATCTATATATCTCTCTCTATCTATATATATCTGTCTCTCGCTCTATCTATCTATATCTATCTATCTATCTATCTATCTCTCTCTATATATATATATATATCCTCTCTATCTCACTCTCTCTCAATCTATCTATCTCCCTCTCTCTATAACTATCTCTCTATATCTATCTATCTATCTATCTATCTCTCTACCTCTCTCTCTCTCTATCTATCTATCTATCTAGCTATCTATCTCTATATCTATGTATCTATCTACAGGGTGCGACGAGTAAATTGCCGTCATTTTATATTTTTGATTTCGTGCATGCGCGTTATTTATTTTTTGGGGGTCGACTGTACAGTATAGTAGGCTCATTTGGGCAACGTCTGCAAGAAAAAGATTATCATGACGCAATTCCCTCCGCCAGAAATTTGGAAACGGCATGTCCTACAGTCGGAAGTTCCAATATGAACATTTCTGAGTATTTGAGTGTGAATCTGAGGATTCGATGAGTCTAATGGTGATTACGAAGGTGACGGCGTTATGTCTCCATCCCACAGAGACTCGACGCGAAGTCCTACATCAAGTGCCTTGAGGAGGTAGTGCTTCACTGGATCAAGAGGGGAGCTGCTGGACAGCCTTATGTCTGGCAACTAGACTCTACACGGTGCCACACAAGCAGGAGGATCCAATTATGGCTGTCGGACAATTCTTGCGGCCACATCACCCCTTACATTTGACCAACTTCAACCCCCTTGATTATTATGTATGAGGCGCAGTTGGGCGAGAGAACAACAAAACTTGTAAGACCAAAAATGAATTGAAGGCAAGGATTATGGCAGCATTCACCAACTTAAACAAGGAAACCGTCCAGAAGATGCAGGAGATTCCGAAGTTGTCTGGAGGCCGTGGTTGAAGCCAATGTCAATTTTATTGAATAAATGTATTCTTTAGTCTTTCACGATATTTTTGTGTAATTTGGTAATTATATCTGTCAAAATTAGATGTTAATGTTATTTTTATTTTTGCGTCATTTAGACGACAATGTATGAACCTCACGTTTTATCCATGCCAGTCTTTTTATTATCTATCTATCTATCTATCTATCTATCTATCTATCTATCTATCTATCTATCTATTGTGTATGCTTGTCTGTCTAACAATTTATCTTTCTTTCTCTATCTACATTTAGCGTCTGTCTATCGGTCTATCTATTTATATTTAGTATAAGTCTGTCTATCTATGTATATTTAGTTTCTATCTATATTTAGTTTCTACTATCTATCTATCTATCTATCTATCTATCTATCTATCTATCTATCTCTCTCTCTCTCTCTCTCTCTCTCTCTATATATATATATATATATATATATGAAGTAAAATATATACGGAAAAAACAAAACAAAAATCCTTATATACAATTATGCTGTTTTAATGTTAATATGTCAACGTCTGACGTTTCGGTCTAATAAATCATCTTCAGGACATATTCATAAATATAACATTATCAATACAACATGACAAAGACAATGTACATTAGAACAAGACTTAATAATATCATATAATTTTCTCTCACTAAGTCATTTAATTTTATATCTATCTATCTATCTATCTATCTATATATATATATATATATATATATATATATATATATATATTCTCTGTTCATATTTATTTTACGAGTTTTTCACTTCTTTCTTCCCACATCTCCCTCACTAAGTCATTTCATATCTATCTGTCTATTTATTTATCTCTCTAATCCCCTTGGGAAAGGCATGAATGCCCTTTCTTCATCTTTGTGTTAAAAAGCATAGTTAACTGTGCTCTCTTGCCTTGGGTGGCAGCCAGTCTAGGAGAAAGAAAACCCTGAATTCACACCTGATATGATCTGTTCACCATTTAACTGTTATCATTTGTTCCGAAAAGTGCGCCTGCAGAAGCCTTCGTCACTCTAACAGAATCATCTGTGTAAGCAGTTTACCGATTAACCTTTAAACTGAAAAGTTTGTCTCTCATACGGTGAAATCGTTTGTCCATTTCTGTGGATGTACGCGTGTGTTGTGTGTGTGTGTATGTGTGTGTGGGTTCGTGCGCGTTTAGCGATATAAGCTCAGGCGAGAAGAGTATTAAATTACCTGCAAAGGTATAAAGTGTGCTTCGATTTGAGTAGACTAAGCTCGATAGGTAGATTAGAATTTGACGTGTTCAATCTCTGAGCCTGCCAGCGTGGACATGAACTCAGTGCCGGAATCAATAACTGAGCGGTAATAAAATAAGAACTAGACGATAAATCCCTAAGCATGGGCAGTGGGATGAGAACAATCTACCCCCGGGTTCAGTTCGAAAATCCCTCTAGATTACCTGGATCGATATAAAGTTGTTGAAGGCCGGAGGCACATCGGCCGAAATGCTGTGAAGAACAACAAAGGTTAGTACAATTGTCCACATGTAAATATTGCAAAATGGATGATTTCTATATTTGAAAATATTAGTGAAAAAACCTCTGTTATCTACCAGGTGCGTTCTTGATATTTTGACTGTTTTCAGGAGATACTTTTAATTTCAAAGAAGTACAAAACGCTAATCTTCGAAATAGGATTCTCCGTGAAGACTCCATGGAAGTCATAGAAAATGTTAAAATGGGCAAAAAAACGCTACAAAAACGTATGAAAGTCTCCAGACTAAAGATTATGTATGAGCCGTGCATCTGATTTCCGCTGGCACAGAAGTAAGGGGATACAAATGAAAAGATTTGAAAATGACAACTTTTTTCAATTTCACTGAAAAAGACTTTAAGCAGATCTTTCTTTCATTTTCTCACTGAAATCAAATAGCGTCTTTCCCCCTCTTTCCACGCAATCGAATTATAGCCCATAATTTATGAGGTATTGTTAGGAAACATTAAAATCTTTCATCTTCACTTCTTTCTTTTTTCTTTCTTTCTCTCTTTCTTTCTTTCTTTTTTCTTTATTTCTTTCTTTCTTCCTTTCTGCTTTCTTTCTTTCTCTCTGTCTTTTTCTTTCCTTTTTCTTTCTTTCATTCTTACTTTCTTTCTTTTCTTTCTTTCTATTTTCTTTCTTTATTTCTTTCTTTCTTTCTTCCTTTCTTTCTTTTTTCTTTCATCCTTTCTTTCTTTCTTTTTCTTTCTTTCTTTTTTTCTTTCTTTCATTCTTACTTTCATAATGTGTGACGTCTTTTATTTACATTTGGATACGCCATGAGCAGATATCAATGTACGTTTGAGATTCATGGAAGATTGAAGTTTAAAGACAGTAAATTTGACCTTGCTAACCGAATGCTTTTCTGTGGCCAAATCGGTTAAAGGCTATATGATGGTTCCGTATAGGATACAGGTTCGAATCCTGTCGGAGGACGAATATTTTCTATGAAATTTTCTCGGACATCCAGGCCGGTAAGTGTCGTTAATACTGTTTATTATAAACAGAGCATTTACTTAAATATTTGTATCTATAAAAAGAATGTATAAACATAAAAATGTCTTAAAATAATTGTCGGACTTTGTCCATTTCATAATGTGTGACGTCATTTGTTTACATTTGAGCAGATACGAATGAGTGTGAGAGATTCATGGAAGATTGGAGTTTAAAAGCAACTGACTTTACCAATCGAACGATCCTCTGTGGTTCAATCGGTTAAGTCAAGTTTTCTATGAACATTTCACGGATATTGAGGCCAGTAAATGTTATTAATATTGTTTATTATAAACATAAATATTTCTATCTATAAAAAGAATGTGTAAACATATATATATATATATATATATACACACACATAAATATACACATATATATATATACATATATATATATATATACGCATATATATATATACACATATATATATATATACACACACATATATATATACATAAATGCACACACACACACACACACACACATATATATATATATATATATATAAACCTGACTCTCGATAAAAAAAAGATCCCTCATTGCAGAAATAAAACTAGGAAACGGGATATGTAGAGAATAAATATTTCCCACGATTCTTTATTGAATGAAAGAATAATCATAGCAATGTAATTGTCTCTCGACAGAAGCCCTCTTTGCAAAAGTGTTAATTTTATTCATATGTAGTTATATATTAAAAAAAAAAGAGAGCGAAAAATAGTTGGCATTAAATAACCCTTTGTTGTTGATATGCCATAAAACAAAACAAACAAACCAATTAAGCTATGTTCTCCCTCTTTCGACGCTCTCAAAACGAGGAATAATCCATTATTGATAATTTCAGGGCAGGACGTAACGGTCGTGCTAGTTAACGAAGGCGGGGGACAAGCACAATTATAATAGGATTAGATGATAAATCATAGAGTAATCAATAAATAATGAACTTGATTATTGTCTCCACATCTTCCTGTCCTTTACAGTCTCTCTAGGAGTTGGAAATAACGCTTCACCGAATTAGCCATACGATCTAGAACACATCATGCAGAGATGATGAGATTCCCAATGGGGAAGCAGGCTTTAACTTAAAAAAAAAAGAACAGAAAAGAAATAGAAGGTAAATCTCTTTTATGTTGTTCTCTTCGGGTCCCGGTGTATTTGGTCGGCAGTCCATCTTGAACCAAGACGATCATGCTGGGAGCAAAGCGAAGGGTAACGGCCTTAATGAGTTTGGAAGAATTCGACATTACAATTCACAAAGGGGCCATTTTCGAATCTCTGCGGTTCTTGAAGATAAAAGGCACGAATAACATAATGATCTAAAAATGTTAGCACAAAAACGGATATAGTAAATATTGTGTCTGAAAATCCATTATTGTGATTCTGCAGAGAATTCTTGAAGGCTAAAAACAGAATTTTAAAATGCATTTCAAAGGAAGAAAAGATAAATGTATATATATATATATATATATATATATATATATATATATATATATATGGTAGAGGACTTTTATAATTACTTCAGAAGCTTTCTGTCTGAATTTGTGCAATCAGGTGTTATCATTACTTACATTATTTACATTTTACATTCGGTCTAATATCCTCATCTTTATTGGCATTATTACAACGTTTCGACAATATCGTACATTATTTCTATTATTCGGACTATTGTCTTCATCTTTATTGCCATATTTACCACGTTTCGGCCGTTGTACGCTCCGCCTTTCTTCAGGTGATTGGAATTTCGAACAGAACCCTTTATTTAGTCCTCAAGGAAATATTACCCAGTGGATAAAGACGTTGGTTAGATCCAGTGACCAAATCCAAAGAGTTGTGAGTTCAATACCAGACCACAGCAGTGGTGAACCAAAACTTGAAGAGTCAGTTAAAGGGAAATAACCGAGACATCTAGAAGAGGTATGGCACGTTGAACTAGAACTATTACCACGGTGGACGAAATAAAAGATTCGGTTCGAAATTCCAATCACCTGAAGAAAACCGGTGCGTACAACGGCCGAAACGTTGTGAATATGGCAAAGAAGATGAGGATAACAGTCCGAATAATGTAAATAATCATAATACCTCATCTCAGAGATATAGACAGATGTTTCGGTCTAGTCAATGGATCTAACCAACGTCTTTACCCAATAGCCGAAACGTTGTAAATATGGCAATGGAGATGATAACAGTCCGAATAATGTAAATAATGCAAGTAATCATAATGCCCCATCTCATAGATATAGACAGATCCTAAAGAAGGCCGGGGCGTATAACGACCGAAACGTTGTGAATATGGCAATGAAGATAGGGATGACAGTCCAAATAAAGTAAATCATGTAAGTAATCATGATACCTCATCTCAGGGATATAGACAGGTTTCGACAATTGTGCTCACGATCTTCTTCATGTGTCCATCACCTCGAAAAAGCTTTAGGGAATTTTGAACTTTACTTTTCTTAGTGCCGTCGAGTTACCTCTGTCGATTAAATGAAGGGTTCAGTTTAAAATGGCTTCGTTACCCAGTGCGACAGTCACATGAAGAAGGCTGGAGTGCCTAACGGCCGAAATATCTTTATAATAACAGCTAACATTAGTATGTAGGGAGATTTCTGAATTATTTGGAGTGCTTTCATGATAATGGTAAAATACAAGAAGTTAGATGAAGCAAAAATAAATTCAGTTGAGATTTTAAAATTTAAAATTTTGAATTTAGAGAGATTTTGGTAATCAATTTAAGAATTCCAAAAATTTGCAGACTCTACGCTTACGTTTCTTTTTCTTTAATTCCTTCATTATTTGTAAATATCTCAAAACTCAATATTCTTGTAAAATCGCAAAATTTAATTCCGCCATGAGAGAAATGAAGGTAATATAGCTTCAATATGATTGTTTTCTATTCAAAATTAATATATTTTTTTTTAATTTTAATTAATTATTTTTAACAGCGGAAAATATTGTTTTAAATTCTAAATCATTAATTACGTGAATAACGTTTCTCCCGTCTTTGAATACTAACTCATTTTTTCCATGAATAAATTTTAATAAAAAAAAATTATTTCTGCTCGCAGTGCCTATAAGTACAACGCCGTCCATTTTTTCTTACATTAATTCTAGTCCTGCCATTCATTTTTATTTTCCTTTTAGTTTAATTTATGTGGAAGCCACACATCAGAGCGACTAACTTAACCAGCGTTTGGATTTTATATTTCATTATGCTGAGTACCTTCCGCATCGTATAACACAGATTATTCTCAAGTAATTTCTTCATCTGGCAGCTATCAACTTCAACTGTTCTACATGATCGTGTAGCGTCGTCCAGATCTTCGACATCAAATTTCGAAAGCCACTTTTAAAACTTTCGATTGTTCGCTTTACTTTTTCTATAAACTACACCAATTTCTTTTTGATTTGCATTTTTACCTTGCTTAAATTCAAAAAGGCCGAAAATTTTGCTTCTTTTCTTACAATCAATAAATAAAAAATTTGTCAACTTAAAAAAACGTAAGTTACAGCTGTTATAGTACAATAAAAAGCGACCTTCTTTTTTTTAAATAGAAGTTAGTTAAAACTAAACCCTCCTAATTCCATCTAATGCCCAAACCGAGGATTTTATCCTTATTTTTTTGTAATTTAATACCTAAGCTAGTGATATGGATACTCGATAAGAAATCCTTAAATTAATTTCAGTCAATTTATATGGTTTATTCTAATACTCGACTGCTTGTGTGGCTAGCTTATTCCTGTTGTATACGCCTGCTCGGCTACATTGTGGCTTATACTACAACTATACTCAAAATACCTTAGTTACAGTTTCTGGGAGAAAGAGTGAATTATCTGACATTACTGACAGTTTTGAATAATGCCAGCACCTTCAAACCCTCGGCTACGATGACTTGCAACTATCTGCCAGCATAACCATCGACGGCTTCCGAACTGTTCCGCCTACACAATTTGACTCCCAAGCTTGAGCCAACTCCTGCTATAGTTTTTAGGCTGTTACCCGTCCTGGGTATGACGATAAACTACACCTGGCAGCAAGGCCGATGGTCGCTTTGTTTTAACGAGAGTAGAACTACCTCTTAATTACTGTTGTTGGTCCATCCTAACACGGGGTGGTAGTACCTGTTAGGGTCCCAGCTATGGGCAAATAGTTAACTCCTAAACTTTGGTCAAGACACTATGAGAGTGTAGAAACACATTTGTATTGTGAAGGTGCCAGCAATATATTTTCATAGTAAAAATATCACCGGAGATACATTTCAATAAAAGAAATTAACACTCCGAAGAAAATTAAATTTCAGCATTAAATGACCCATAAAGAGTTGATATGCCGTTAAACAAACAAAACAATAGGCTGTTACCAACGGTGTCGATCGTTTCCCCAGGCAGTTGTTATAAAAAGCTATAGCCTTGACAAATCGACTATAGCGAAATTCGAACTCGGGGTCTACGGTTGGGACGTAAACTGTGTAACCGCTCTACTATGCGGCCATGTTGAATTCTGCACCCATTCACATGGAAAGTTATTATGAGATAAATAAATAAATCCTGCGCGCAAAGTTTTAGAGGAGTCGAGTGGATGAAACAGAGAGAGTAGACAAGTAGCTAGATTAGGAAGGCCAGGTAAACGTATGAATTAACAAACCAATTGATAAACTCAGTGAAACTTCGGCGTCTTTACTTTTCTTTTAATAAACCCATGAGATCGACAGAAAACCCGTTTGTAATTATTCATAAAAAATAAAAGAAAAAAAA